AACCCTACAATCAATAGGGTCTTGGTGTAATTGGTGATCTGTGTAGGTTTTTAAATGAGCCTTTCAGTCTTTTAGCATTTATAATTTTTAAAATTATGAAGAATAATTAAAATGGAAGTCCAACAATGAGATATCTGTTTAAAAAAGTTCCATCTGAAGTTCCCTCTCTGGCTTCCAGGGCATTTTTTAGGGCTTATTAGCTTAGCTTATCCTTAATAAAATGTTTTAGCCTTATTCTCTGCATGAGTTATGAACACTTGAACAACTGAGCATTCCTTACCAGAAGCTTATCTTCAGTGATATATTTCTTTTCCACTCCTGATTTACTCTATTTTTAGTATGTGTCTGTTTGCCTAACTTACCTCAGGTAAGTTAGGCTACATGGTTAGAAAATACATAGTTAGAAAATAAAACTACATTTAAAGAGTCCATGAGATTGGCTGGTAAAAATTTATTAAGGATAACCAAAGATCAAGTAGGAAGAAGCAAGTCCTCACCATGACAACATTAGTTAGTCAAGGGTAAACTGTAGAGTAGCTCACCAGTTACAAACCAAGTTTTACTGTTATAACATATTGACATGAAGTCTTTCAGAATAGTCAAGAACAGAGAGAGAGAGTGTCAAAACAACAAAGCCCCTGATGGCTGCATTCCAGTTGGCAGAATTATAAAATAAAAAGATTCTAAATAAAATACACTTTCAATTTGATTTTTACTTCATCCTTCTTCTGGGACAAAGAGCCAGTGTAGTTTCTTCTGTCACTGTTGAGGCAGGACAGGAATGAGAAGACTGACTCAGAAGGCTGTTGAGAGTAAAACTCCGATTTATTCAAAATGCACTGCTCTTTTATACAGAGCTTCATGAGGACCAACTTCATTGGTTCTGAAGTGAAAACAACCCACAGTATTGGTGCAAAGTGCTTGATGCACAGTGATAGAACTTAACTATAAACAATGTGAAAAACAAGAGATAAAGAATTATTTACATTCTTTCCCAGCACTTTCCCAGTCTTTTTGCCTGGCTAGAAACTCTGTTTCTTTCTTTGACTGAATCTGAGACCCACATTCTTCCATCCACTTTTCACTGCTGCTGATCACAACACTGAGACATCAAAAATTTTGTAGAAAATTCCTATAGCATCACAACAACAAAAAACAATCCCTCCCAACCCACCCCCCCACAAAAAAAAATACCAAACCAAAAAAGCCCCCTAAAAAAAGTCTTTAGTCTCTATTCTATCAAAAAGCAGAGAATAGTGTCAATAGTGAAATCCTAACCATTCTAGATGTCTCCACATTGAAAATCTTGGCTAAAGAAACTAAATGAGCAGTGTTCCTGAGCCATGAGTATTAGTAATACTCTCTTCATAGAGCAGGCTTCCACTGTTTCCAGTGAATCAGCCTTAGAAGAGAGTTGTAAACTTGGCTCAGAAGTTTCAAAGCTTTGCATGAGCTAAAAGTAAAATTTCCTGACCCTGTGGCACAAAGTCATCTGTTGGTTTTAATTGCAAAATGCGTGCTGACATAAATACATATCCATACTGGGTTTTGGGCAATCCTTTTCTCTATGAATGCAATACACTGTCATCTTAAAAAAAAAAACAATGTAAATAACATTAATCCTTTGCTACTGCTCGAATGCTTTTCTTCCAAGGTTTTTTAACATATTCAGGCACTTGAGTGCATTTGGTTTCACAACTTATCTCATAGCCATACGGATTATAAAACTTCAGCATGACCTCAAGATTAAACAGAAGAATGTGGAGAAAGCATGAATGTCCAATTCCTCTAAGTAAGAATACAAAGAACTCTTTTAGCTCTCTAACTATGGAACATTCCTTGCCTATATGTACAAATACTATAGATGTAGAGAGAGACAATGCATACAGAGTATACATGGCATGATACAATATTTTCATAAAATCATATAATTTCTCAACTTTTAAAAGACCCATAAAGACCACCAAGTCCAACTCAATACTCCTGTTAGGACTACCTAACACCAAATCATAAGACTAATAGCAGCATCCAGAGTGCTCGTTGTCCTCTGACAGACATGGTGCCATGATCCCTTGCCTGGGGAGCCTGTTCCAGTGACTGATTACCCTTGCAACAAAGAATATTCTGATGAAACTTCATCCATTGCTTTGTGCCCTATCATTGATAATCAAAGAGAGTTCAGCACCTCTCCCTCCGCTGCTTGCCTTGAGAAAGGTGTAGACTGTGTAGAGGTCATCCCTCAGCCTTCTCTTCTTCAATCTGATTAAACCAAGCGACCTCACCTGCTCCTCGTAAGTCTTGCCCTTGAGGCATTTCACCATCTTGGTCATCCTCCTCTGGACACACTCTAACAGTTAGATGCTTTTCTGATACTGAGGACTCCATCTCAGCACACAATGCTCAAGAAGGAGCTGCACCAGAGCAGAATAGGACAATCACTTCCCTCCACCAGCTGGTGATGCTGTTCTTGATGTACTCCAGGGCATGGCTGGCCTTTTTTGCTGCCAGGGCACTGCTGACTCACATTTGTCATCAAGCCAGACACCCAGATCTCTTTCCCTGTGGCTGCTTTCCAATCTTTTCACCCCCAGTATAACCAGGATTACACTGTCCTAGGTGCAGAAGCCAGCACTTACTCTTGTTAAATTTGACATGGTTGGTAGTTACCCAGCTCTCAGGTCTATTCACATCTCTTTGTAAGGCCCCTCTACACTTAATAGTCTATGGTATATCCTAGTCTCATATCATTAACAAATTTAATGTACATTTAACTACTGCATCCAGATCTTTACTCCAGGTAGTCAGATGCTTCAAATATAATAGTCACTCCTTGTTTTTAGAAGCTGATACCTTAGGGCTTGTAGATTAGCTTCATTGACTCAAACTGGAGCAGAATAGCATTCCTGAAAAAATGGGTGACCTTCTCTTTCTTACTCTTTCAGCTCTGAAGGTAAATTATCAAACCCACAGTTTTTTAAACCAGTTAACAAGTTAAAATTACCTATGATGATATCTTCCAACACTAATTAATTTTTCTATATACAAAAATTTCCTTTCAATCCTATTCAATCACTACAGAGAGAAAATATATTAGTAATCCACTTTATCAAATTTGACTGAATAGAACTTAATTACAAAAATGTCTTCAACAAATTTCATTTGAGGTTTCTGCATTTTGAGAAATACAAAACACTATGTGTGAAAATCTGAAGCATGCGTTCAGTTGAAGGCAATATGCAATGGCAGGACTGGGAGTAAAACCCCAAAACTTCACAGAAAGGTTGAGTGACCACTTACAAAGCAGATGTGTTGAACTGATATCTTCTTTGCCTGTGGGAAAGTACAGAAGGAGCATTGCCCCTGGTGATTTGTTTTATTTTATTGTTATTCCAGTCAGTGGGTTCTAGCAGTAATTACCACTTGTGCCTTCTGGTATGTCCTGAGCCATTCAGCACCATGGTCCAACCCTCTCTATAATCGGTATTAAATTCACATCCCATGCTTAGTATAAAGGTAAATAATATACAGAATTTATTCACATTCATTATGGGGAACTGTTTTCATGGGTCTAAGTCAGAGTAAAAAGATACCTCAAGGCTTATTCTTAGCTATATACATGAACTACTTTAGTTAGAGGGGGATAAACTATGAGTTAAAGCAACTCCTCAACTGAAATAGTGAATTTGAAAAGTTTTAGAGCTTAAATAAGAAGTACCTGCAATATATATTCACATATATAATATGTGAATATAATATTCACATATTATATATAATATGTGTATACAGTATAATCACAGACCCTGAATGCTTCCTGAATGCTTTATAGAACTTCTTCAGTTTTTGATTTGTTTGGGTTTTTTGGGTTTTTTTTTAATTTCTCATGTAACAGCCAGGTCTTTTCTGTGATTTAATTCTAAATCAGGGTCAAGCAAAGCCTTTTGCTAGAAATACCATCCCAATGCAAAAATAGTATGGAAAAATCCAGTTTAAAACTATAAAATTACTTCCCAGTGGGGGAGTGCGCTTATCTTTATTGAAAATAAGTAGCATAGATTTCTTTATAAAGGACTTCATGATGCATCAAGGAAATTTTTTTACAGTATTGCTAATATCTGGAGAAGGCCTTATTTCTTTCATACAACTACTGTAGTTCCTACCCTGATTGCTTCCCTGGGGACTATTCATTGTTTTACTTATTAAATTTTTCTTCAAGATGAAAAATATATCAGAGGACATCACTGGTCTTTGACAAAGGTCACTATTAAGCATTATCATATGTTTTTATCAGCTGGCTTTTCTGGTTTTGTTAATTAATTTTTGCCTAATGCTTGATACTACAATTACAAAATCAGTTTGTGTGAGGGAATGGCATAAAAAAAAAAAGGACAGATACCTTCATTCTCTCTCTTGTATATTGAGCTATCAAGAGTCTGAAGCAGATCCTTCTGCATGCCCAGAGTAGTCACACAAACAGACGTACTGATATTTACACCTGCACCCACAGACATGACTGAATTATATTCTTGCCCAGAGTTCCGCTGTCATGAAGACAACGATCCATATGTGATCCTTCAGATGCTTCAGATGGTAGGATCAGGGCATTAAGTCCCAATGCTATGCTTAGAAATAGATGATTTGGATCACTGACTAGTACCTTGCTAAATTCTTCTGAGAGAAAAAGAAAATAGTAAAAAGGCATTTTTATGCTTGCAACACTGGGGATTTTTTTCCAACTTGTTTATCTAAGGAGCTTAAAATTCAGATTTTCTTTCCTTTCTTTCTCGAGTTATTATGGTCACTTGGACGTCTCATTCCAGTTTCTTATCCAATAAGAGTGCTTATGGTTGAGTTACAACCTCCTGAAACATAAGGTTTGTGACAAAAATGATGACAACTGTAACTATTGCCTAAACTGTGGTCACCACCACTGCAACACAGTGGGATTTGAACTACGTAACCTTAAATGATGGAATAATTGTTTGGTATCTTGTTTTTTGCAGTTCCTGCTTTGCGGTGTATGCGGAATATTGTGTGCCAAAAAAAAATCTGGACTTGTTGTAAGTTTTTCCACTGAATCCATAACACTTAAGTATTTGAAAGGCTTACTTATCAAATTTGAACTCTTTACTGGGGGTTTTCTGCATCCAAGGGTTTTTGATAAACAATTAGAAAAATTATGAGTTGGCAATCTAAAAAAAGCAATCAGCACTTTCGAATAGTCACCAAAAAAAAGGCAGTTCTGAAATGGCCTATATAGGTCATGCTATTTAAGCCATACATCCCTATTTATCTGTATATGGATAAACTTTGATCAGAAATCAGTTGACATAGATTTATGTCAAGTCAATAAATGCTTCTCAATAATGTCACTGGACTGTATCTTCTCTCCTTCAAAGCCAACAGTGGGTTGCCATCTCAATAAGGCTGCTGACCAATTTTGTTTCTAGATATTGTAGCTGTTAAGTGTTTAGGAAGTTTGTTTAGCAATCTGAAACACATGAATGTAAGTTTTAAAGGGATGGGAGATACCTCTTCATGTACAGTCATTTTCTGACTGCAGCAAAATGGTATTATTACCCAACAAGACACAGCAGAACTCTATGTTAAAGACATGATCTTACTGTAAGTGATAATGCCAGTCCTAATATTCTGTCAGTTTGATTATTCTGCCACATACAGATGGAAGTCACATAAAACAAGCATAAGTATGATAGGAATCAAAAGTTCTCTCCAATTATTTTTTAATATCAATGAGTTATCCTAAAGTCTGTTAAAATGACAGTCCCATTTCTTAAAAAATGTGTACCATAACCAGTTTCTAAAAGATATCTATTCCAGAGGTCTCATGGAATTGTCACTTGCCAGTGGACTGCAATATACATTCTCAATGCCACATTCCTGAGGAAATTCTCATCCTAGTTGTAGTACTTTCCTAAAGTAGTTTGTAAGAATCCATAAAGTTCTGCTGCCACAGTAGATAAGTACAAATACAAAGCCATATCAAAAAACATTAACGGTCCATCTAGATCATCTGACAGGTCAGCAGTATAAAGGAAAGTGAATAAGACAATCATTTAACACAGTCTCCATAAGGTCATTTCCTCCTGAATCATTTGAGATTAATACACATCCTGAACCAGAGTAACATCTTGGTGACTAAAAGCAATAGGATGTGTTTAAAAATGTCTCATTGATTGCAGCCTGTTTCACAGATTTCTAAAATTCCCAGGAACATTTTAGTCAAGTTAAAATCAACCAAATCAACCAACCAACCAACCAACCAACCAACCAACCAACCAACCAACCAACCAACCATATGTTCATCAAAATTACCTTCTGTAAAGCAGCTTCACAAATTTCTTTATTGTTTATTATGCTTCTTTGACAAAAACATTCACCTTGAACACTTTCAAAGACCCCACAAAAGCTGCAGAAAACCTCCAATCTGCTATCTGACTGAATAAATTATAACTGAGCAGGAGGCACAGTCAGAATGCACACAAAGCAAGAGAGATTCACTACAAATACATGAGGCATTCATTCCTGAGGCAAGGTGATAAACTGCACAATAGGAAATTACGGCACCTTCTGTCATGTTACTGTTTTGCATGAACAGCTGGAAAATAGTTTTGTGTCCTAGCAGTCCTTCCATTGAATAGGTTTTAACTTTACCTACTCATTTTACTCAACGTTTTTTTACACGCAACATCAATCTTAACTCTTGTATAGCAGAAGGTAATATATTCCTCGGAGCAATGAGGGAGCTAAGAGAGTTAAAAACATGCCGTATTTTGCAGTCAGTGATGATATCAAAGAATTAAACTATAGTTATCTCATATTTTATATGCATTAATCTATGTCTGAAAAATATTATTGTGACATAACCTGTCTTGTCTCTCCTGACAGATGATACTTTTTTCTGCCTGTTGCATCTGTGGACTAATAGGAGGAATCTTAAATTTTCAATTTCTTCGTGCTCTGACAAAGAAGTCATCTGCTCTCTATTCTTTGCATCTTGCCTCCATGTCTCTTGCATGCATTGGAATTGGTGGTTGCACCCTTTCTTCATGGCTCACTTGTCGGCTAGCCAGCTATGAACAAAGGCGAATGTTCTCCGAAAGGGAACATTCATTGCATCACTCCCATGAAATGGCAGAAAAAGTGAGTTGTGTGTCCTCCCTTATTTGTTCTGCTTCTCCCAAAATGTTACTGTATGCGTTAACGTTTACAATTGGCAAGGGATGTATTCAGTTTTCAGTTTTATATGAGAAACAGCTTCTGGAAAATGAAATGCTGCCATTCTGTGTAAGCTTTATTATGTTGCATTATATGGAGCTATTTTTAGGTACTGTATATTTGCAGTACATCCATTTCAATGAAGCACATCCATTTTCAACATAATTCCATTGTACAGCTATTCAGGGGCTTAACTGCTAAATATAGCACTTCCTAAATAATTGGATGCCTTATTAATATGAATTATCATGTCTTGTACTGTAAAAAAAAAGCACAGAAAGCTTTCTGTAACCACATCATTGCATGCTTCCAGGATTTAATCAATTTCTTCCTCTCCCAAGTACTCAGCTTATAAATTAGGTTATTTAAACAGAAATGCCACAGTTTACAAATATAGGTGACTTAACCTAAGCATCTAAGAGCATATTTAGACACCTAAATAAAATTTGTCTCATTTGCAGCACTGAGCATTTACTTCCTTTCTGTATTAACAGGAAGCCTACCAAGGTGTATAGGAATAAAATTAGGTGCTGAAACTGAAGCTTCTAAAGCTGAGCACATAGGATCAAAACAATTAATGGACTAGAATTCTTGAAATCATGCCCTTGTCTTAAGAGACCTGAATAACATTTGAGGAGTTAAGTGTTTGCTGTAAACCTGTGCTTTGCATTTGGATTTAGTATCTAGCCAATGCCTTTCATTTGAGAAATGAGCAGAAAAAAGAACAAAAGTCAAGTGGACTGCCCACCCTAACCTCCACATGCAAGTTTGCATTACTATTAAGTTCAATAGTCTGTTATCTACTGAAACCTCTGAAGAGCAGAGTAAGGATTAGTTTGCTCATACTGTAGAATTGTTTTCAGACTCCCTGAAAAACCTGATACAGCAGTTAAAAGTGACTCGTCACTATTCTTTAGTTTCTTAACTGAGATGAGACTCCAACTAGAAATATAAACTGAATTAATCTTAGATGATGTTTGAAATGGCTCTTAAAAACACTATGTTAGAAACATTTTTAAAATGTTTGAAACATTTTAAAAAGATTATATTTTAAATATGTCTTTAAAAGCTAAATAGTAGAGGTTACAACAGTAACATAAAACGGGTGATAAAATCAACAGACAAGATCCATTTCTCCATCTCATTTTAAAATGAAGAAGAATTCTGATGAGCTATTAGGCAAATATGATGGTCTTGCTGATGGAAGGCTAGATATTGACTTTCAGAAAGACTGTTGCCTCAACAAGGACAAAGATGGGAGAAAAGAGGGAAAGGAAGAAGAAAGAGCTTGGAAAGAAAAAAAAACTTTCAAAATAAAAAAAGCTGCCAACCCTATCAATTTGGGATGAGGATGACTATGTGTAACAGTAATTCACTGCCTACCTTCCTAACAAGTTGACCAACTGAGCTTTTTGACACTTAGCAGCAAGGACTGCCAGGTGTCCACTTATCCTGGGTGAAGGGCCACTATGTATGTGCAAAACAACCCTATTGTACACACTCAGCAGATCTGGGATGCGCCCACTGATGGCAAACTTCCAGCATGTCTGCTGTAGAGCCAAGTATGCATGTACACATGGCCTGACTTGGGACTTCTTAGACCCACCGACTGCCTGCTGCTGGCAGGGTTGAGTACACTAGGTTAAGGCACAAAAACTTACATTGAATTAGACCCTAATTTATAAAATAGCTTAGAAGTGTTTTATTTATTTGACTATATTGTATATTTATACTGATATACAGTAATGTAGACATGTACTGCATGTGCATTTGTTTGTGCTATATTTATTGTATAATTGTTATATTTATATTAGAGATTGAGGGGTATTGAAATAACCGACCTGCCCAGCTGCCCGGTGATTCCCCCGACACCAGAGTTACCTCCAAGGTACGCTGAACACTAGGGAGCGACCATGTTGTTATGTCACTTCAGGAAGGGCCACCTCTACGAGGAAGTCATAGCTTCAGCTAATCAAAGTTGGCTGATGCTGTGATGTTACTCTGAGGCAGGAATGGTGCTTCCAGGTAGTGACATAACTCTATGTGGTGAACGCTGCAATGCGGAAGTAAGTTGAGTATTTAAAATATTCACCCTAGTTACAGGCATCCAAATACTCTTATTTGGATGTAGCCACCATTGATTCACTCTGCTTCTTATCTGTGTGCTCCTTCATTCCCCGAATTCAGCAACTTTTTTTTAATTAATTTTTTTATAAATAGAAATAGTGGGGAAAATAAATGGGTTTTGATATTTTCCAAAACTATGGTGATATTCTAATAGCTGATGTCTGCAGACAATTCAAGTGATGAAGCTTACAAAAGGAAAGTCATTAGTAGCCTTCTGACAGATCATTACTATCAAAATATGGCTGATAGTTAGTAATTGGTATTCTTGGTCTCTTTTGGCTTTGGTATTCTTTCCCAGCTGACAGATACCTTCAATGTAGATCCAACAAAGACTTTAGAAACCCAGAAATAAGCAAACCATAGTGACAGACAACCCCCAAACTGGGATCCATAGACCAGTGTTAGGCATGCATGTTCCTCTTCAATATATCAGGAGAATAAAGCACAATACCAAAACATCCAACACCATCATCTGCAAATGGAGACATGGGTTGTAGAAAATACTCAAAATTAGTTGCACACCTGATTTTCTCTGATGTTTATGCTTGATTTGGGAGTGTTAATTGGCAAGGCTTCTTGGTTTGGTGACAATGTAGGGAAGACTAGAATATCCCTTCTTTCAAATATCCCTTTCTTTCCTGTGATTTGCTCTAAAATGTAGCTGGTAACACCTGAGAAAGGAGGCATCAGTTCTTTTTAACTTTATGTTACCTTGAGTTCTGGTCTCTGCTTGCCAAATATTGTGGATTAAAAGAAGAGAGAGATGGAGTAAGACTAGTAATTAAGACCAGGTGGTATAATTTTCTTCTCTTTACCACGAATCTCAGCTACTATGCTATAAAGCTGGATTCTTTCTTTCTGTCTTTTTTTCTCTCTCTCTGTCTAGCCCAATGAATGTTGCTTCACTTTTTTTACAGAAGCTTCCAAAGGAAGGGGACAAACAAATCCCTTTTATTCCATGTTTTCTCCAAGTGTACCTAGGAGGAAGAAGAGGTGAATTTAATCTTTCCATGCAGAGAAGACCCCTGGTCATCATGCAGCTATTTTAGAACTAGTCCAGCACTGGCACCTCCACCTCACCTACTTGAATTTTAGAAGTACACCAAGCTGCATTTTTACCTGTACCGATTCCTCTTGCCCTAGCTGAATGATCTCTGTCATTGGACATAAGCAGCAGATCACTTATTTCTGCATCCAGATTCAATCTGGTATGAAATAGGCCTGGGATTGCTGACAATAAGGTAGTTCCAGCCATAAACTCAATGTGGCTTCGCAGCCTTGGAGATCAGGGAACTGTTTAATTAATGTAGCCATCTCCGAGCTTAGACAGCTGCTAAGGGGGTTTTGTTTGCATTTCAATTTGAGAGTTAGAAAATCTATCTCTGAGCAAATCTTGGTGGAGGTGCTTTAGGATTCTGACTCATGAGCCGGTCAGCTTACTCTGGGATGACTCACCTGCCACTGGAGAAGCAATCCCTGAACTGCTAAGAATTGTAGACTGGCATAATAAGGGAAAACTAAAATCAGTCCCATCCCAAGGGAAAACAAGCAGTTAAAACCCTTAGGTCCTGTTTGGATCTATATCTACTTCCCAAATGTCTATTTCAGCAAACATTGAATGGCATTTATTTGTAGCATGTCAGCACAGATAAAAGTTTGAATGGAAACAGAGACTTAACTACCATTTCATTCTTTTGTAGATCAGCACACAAGCTTGAGTTGATGCAATTTCAAAGGACACCACAACTAGTACTGATGCCATCACTGTGGTCTGAGTGTGATGTCCAATTCAATCACTATCAATGAATCTATCAACTTTCAAACATACCTAATTCATGAAGGAAAAAATCTGATTTTTTTTTATAATAAGGTCTATCAAGCTAAATAAAAATGTAAAGTGTTTCTGAATGTTCAAAATTCTGAGTTTGTTCAAATTTCATCACAACCTTAGATAACTGAATTTTGAATATCTTACAATACTTCTAATTTTAATTAATATTTTTTATTCTTGTTCTAGGAAATGACAGACAACCTAAGCAATGGTGGCCCACATCTGATTTATAATGGAAGTGTATATTAAGAAATTTTTAAAAGTTCCATGGAAGGAAGTGGTTTTAGAATTTTCTTCAGGAAAAAAAATAGACTCCAAGAAATTAAGAAAATGAAATTATCTTAGCTTTTATGGCTCAAATGTCACAACTGCAGACCAGACCAGCACAGTTGCAATTCCCTTTTAGAACCATGTTCAAAATTTGTCTCCTAAACATTTTGCGGATATACAATATATATTCACTGGCTACTCTCAGTTTTTTTGTCTGAATAATCTTTCTGAATTGTGATAGTATTTGAAATCAACTTCGCAAGACTCTTACTCTCATGAAGACTCAAAAATCAGAAAAATAAAATAAACTGAACTGCATTTAGCCCACTCAAAGGAGAAGCAGAGGAAGAATGGCTCAGGGGAATCTTTTTCTCCTCTCCACTTAGCAGCATCTGGTTTAATATGATGGCTTCAGATCATGGCATGGTACAGCAACACATCTGCACAGTCCCTCTCCTCACATTTTGAATGCATCCTGCCTCAGTTTTCCCAGTAGATCATATCAAAAGAGAGTGCAAACTCCTCTTCCAAAAGCTCCCATTTCACATCCAGAGTATAAAATGAACAGTGTGCTGAAAACAACACCGATGTCTTTGTTTTGAAAGACAGAATGCTCTAAGAATGCCATAAATCAAAACCTCAATAATGCCTTGTTGTAAAGAAATTGTAAATACTACCAATTTGTGAATGAAGTATATTTCGTAATTTGTTCATAAAAGATGACAAATAAAATGAAATCTAAACCAGAGGTTTTAGAGAGATCTTTTGGATTTTTTTCTTGTTAGAAAGATCTTGCAAAGCTGAACTGTCATGCTCGCAGTTTAGCACAATATATTGAAAAGTTTCTAAAAGAGCAAGCTCAGAAAGGAAAAAAAAAATGAAGGCTGAACAGAGTCATGGTCGAGGTCAGAAGTTACTGGCAATTCTCCACACCAAGAATACAATAAAGCAGCAAGTATGCAGCTTTGACAGACCCCAAACTTTATTGTAGAACCTTGTGGTTTGTACAGCCATGAAAAATGGAAGATATAATCTGTAACAGAATATTTACAGCATAATATGATTATTAAATTAATATTAAATCACTCATATGTAACATAGTGAGTCTGTGACTTTGCAGTATTGCCCAGAATGGCAACATGAATTTTAGATGTGAGCATCACAGATGACTGGCAACATTTGGTGATTCATACCCATGATCCCAGACGGGTATGAATAGAACCCTATTATCAAACTATGCCATAAAAATCTCTATACATTACATCAAATTGTTTTGTGACTCTATATGGCATAAAATAATCTTTAAATTGACTATCTTAGAATTGTTGAAGTCTGTAAGGGATTTTTCTCATCTAATTACAACATGGGGAATGTCTTCACTGCAATTTAAGTCTCTCACTTAAACTCCAAGCTAATTAGTTGGATGGCTAAGCTTATGAGTCAAAAAATGGTCCACCTTACAAGGCTTCTCTTCACTTATTGTCCCAAAGAGCTTTTGAATTTTCTCAGAGGCCCTGACATACTAGTATTCATTACATACCTTAGAAGTTGCTAACAAGATTGTTCAGGTTCATAAAGAATACAGATATTGTCATAGCAAAATAACTAGATGTTAAGGTATCTCTGCTCAAGGAGGTGTTCTCCTTTCCAAGTACTTCCAGTCTTTAAACTACGCAACAGGTTGTTTGTGGTCTTTCTAGGTGCCATTGTCCCTTCAGTTTGATACTTTTCCTTTGCAGCAGGAAGCATGAGATAAATCTGTCATCCAGTATAGGCCCTTTATGGGAGCATTTTTGCTGCAACTCTGGATACAACCTGCCAAGGCAGGACCATGGTATAAATGGATGCAGAGATTCACATATGTTGAAAAATGCACATTGAACATACAACCTGGGGAGGTGGTTCTGTAACTTTCCTTCCCTCATTGCCTCAGAAAAAAACAAGGGCCTTATAAAATAAAATCAAGAGTAAATTAAAAAATTACCAAAAATTCCACCTTGGAACTACCTGGCTGAGATTCATCACAACTATAATATCACAGTTCACCAGAGTTTATTATGAGATCTCAGGACAAGGAATGGTGGCTTCAGATCCTGGAGCAGTTTGGAGTTGCAGTTCAGAATCTGCTCAGGAATGACATGAAACTACTGACCATAACACCACCGAGTAATTTATCACAAACACCTAATTTCCTGGCACGTTAGTGAGAGTATGGGATGGTGCAGGGAAATAGGTGATTCTTCTATATCCAACACAGTAGTGCAGTACAACAGCCACTTCCTCCTACTTTATAAAGGAAAGGAGGATACACCCTCTAAGCTCATAATGCTTGAAGCCCTGCTGTAAATTATTAAATGCCACCACATCATGTCTGCTCACAGAGGTGCTGGAAAGAGAAAGAAGAGATCTGGGCCCCAAATTCAATTGTTAGGGTTTTTTTTCCTTTTTTTTGGTGCCAAGCTTGTAGAATGTAGAAAAACTGGCTGGTCCCTACATAAATAAAAGCCTTGAAAATGCAAATATGGAATTAAAAATACCTAGGAACAAATGTGACAAAGAGTACTCCTACTTAAGACATAAAAAGAGGATCAGGATTCAGAGTAAATTACCACAATATGTGTATGTGGTTGGAGAATTCTGGGAAAAGTTTCACTTTGTTTAAGGGTTTCTTTCCATAATTGCATACAGAATTCAGCTGTAATGGAAACATTCTCTGTATGTTTTTGTTACTGGTACAGATGAAAGAATATTCATTCCACTTATCCAACTAAATGAAAACAAAATTTTCATTTTTCAGAATGTGACCAGCCAGTGTAACTACACCAATAGCTTGAAGGCTGGGCACCAAAGTCCTTTTCAATCTAAATAGGATGAAACATGTATTGCTGTTGACATAGTTGTCTGATTCATGCTGCTATAAAATCAGATGCTGGCTTAGATTCTCTCTGAGATATTCAGCTCTTATTTACTAGGTCAAGCAAGACTTCCTGAAGGAACTTACTGAATTTTGTGCAGAGGACTTAGCTGGTATGACCTTGATGCATGCCATAATGCCTTAGGCTATATTTTATGCTGTACTTTGCATTTCATTGAACCTCAGCTGATGAGAAACACACACATTTTGAATTTACAACAATCAGCAGTGCTTACCACAAACTGTGCAGAACAGTGGGTATAATATGTCTTAAATCTGTCTTGCACAGTCTTCAATATATATTTGTTGTATTAGGACATATGATTTTTCCTTCAGATGGTCTGGAGAGATATGAAAAACAGTGAAGGAGGCCACATTCAATAGGAAATTGATATACATGAAGCCATAATCACAAATAGTCATGCTCATATAAAAAAATTTCTCTGATAGTGTGATTTTAAAGATGCAGTGAAATGAGATGCAGTAAAATTAGAGTGAAATGGTTTAAGCCATTTCTAATCCTTTCAGATCCCATTCCCAGAAAGGTTAAGGAGTTAAAAGGAATTTTTATAATTAAATGCTTAGAAATATCTAAAAGCAAACTAGTATTAGACTACCATATCATTGCAGATATTACTGCATAATCTTCCTGCCTAAAATGCTTCTATCTAGCTTTTCTTTATCAAAGTGACATCTTTAGCTTCACCATAAACCTCCAACATAATGTACAACCAAAGCTGTTGTACATGCAACTGGAGACAGGGTTTGACGAATATTTTTAGAACTTGTACAAGGGCTAAACAGACAGACTTGGAGTTGCCAGGGGGAAGAAAAAAAAAAAAAAAGAAGAAGAAAAATGCAGAATATTTTTGGGAAAACATAATTTCAGTGGAGTAAAGACGCTAAACCCATTGTAGTTTAGTGTCATCGGCCTAAGGAGCTCTAAATGACATTGGGAAGCTTGCTCAGAAAGGCCTTTTAACTGCTAATTATAAAATTATGAGAATGTTACTTGGTGTTTTGAAGGAAAAAAGGGAACTGAGATTACTCAGTAGCTGGGATTTCAGCAGAAGGTGTGTGCCTGGAGAGACTAGCTTGGCTATGAAATTGTTCTGCTACAGAAAGAAGCAGCTTTGACTTGGAGCAAAAAGTCCAGTGGACTGCACCAGGAAGTCTCTTGCCACCTCTCATCAAAACAGTCCAAAAAACACTGAAGACACAGCATAGACACACCTACTTCTGCCAGAGAACCAACAATAAGCTGTACAGAACACCCTCACTATTGCTCTGTGGTCCCCTCAAATGAGCTCCCAGCATATAAAGAAGTGGCAGGTTTGTTGTTTTTACCCCTTATATTGCATTTGATTTGCTGCAAGGTATCTTTTATGCTTTTTAACCACAAGTCATAGCAGGCTGCTACAGTGACTTCCACATCATTCCAATTTTGCTTCATAACCAGTAGTATGTTTGTTTTGTTTTGCTTTGTTTTCCCCAAGGTCTCTCTGAAATGCACTTAAATTCCTGCCATAAACCCCAAAATGTGTCTTTAAAAATGTGGTAGTTACGGCATTCTGAACAGGTACGAACATTAATTAAAAATACCTTCATCTGCATATTGAAAACAGCTGTTTACATGAACTGGCATAATGTGCAATGGCAGCATGCACATTATGCATGGGAGAGATGAAGGGGCACCATAAACACAATGAAAAGCTGCATATAATTCTGCTGATATAAACCAGGTATAGGAGTCAACACATCCTTCTGCACCCTTAGGAAATCATACATACATTTAAAAATATCTAAGAACCATTAGGATTTCCTACCCTCTTTCCTGAATCCCATGGCTAGTAGCTAGAGTGAGACAAATCAAATTATGTTACCAGGCCCACAAACTCATTCAGCTCCTCTCCCACATCATTATGTGAACCCTATTTTCTCTCCCTCCCACTTCATGCTGGTTCAGGCTAGGAGACTGTGTCTTATATCTCCCCTTAGCTCTTCTCTTCTGTTAAAATGCAGCTGTATCCTTTGAAGTGTTTAACATTGAATCAGTTCTTACCTTTCTTGCCCAGAGAAAGGAAACCATAATCATTGCCTTCATTTTACAGTGAGATTGCAAACAAGGCAAATCTAAATCTAAACCATGAAGTCCAAACATGCAGACTAACACTATTAGATTCCTCTGGTTTGCTACATTACTGATATTATTGCTGCCTTCCACCCTAAATCCAGGAATAAACTCCAGGAATATTGACAGCTTGTATTTTTAAGGAATATTTATTAACTGTGTAGCACCCTGGAAAAGTGTGTGTCAGAACTGCTTTTTTTAACTATTACACGTGAAGAACAGTAGGTTAATATTTATATTCACACTATGGTGGGAGCAGCAGAGATCTTGAAATGGTCCAAGGGTTCGGGATCTAAAAGGCATGGGATTCTGCATGATCATATTTATGCAATGGATTCTTTTGCTTCTATTTTATGCTTGCAAAAATAGTGTATAAAACTATGAAGAAAACTATAGTTTGCAAATTTAGATATACCTGAAGAAATACCTGAATGGATTTTATTATTAACTTTTCCTTCTGTGTAGCACAAGACAGGGTAGTTAATCTGACAATCCTTTTATAAATAATATAACATATTTCAAAGCAACATACACATTTCCATTAAAATATGCAATCTATCACCTCCCTTATTCCAATGACCACAGACTTTCTCATTTTAAAGTAATTTGTTTCTCTGCAGATTTCCCAGGCACTGGCTCTCACTATGGTATCGTATGCTAAATTGAAGAGCCTAGGACAAACTGGAATCAAGTAATTTCTTAA